AGATAATATTGGTTTTTCATCTTTATTTTCGCTTGGATTATTCTATTAAAGTTCTAGTGATAATTTCAGTATTTGTCACCAGATGGCACTGCAACGACACTCGTAACCACTCTTAATACTCGGTTAGTAACATAATGAGGTCATCTTCAGATGATTACAAAGTATGCATCACTATTTCAGATTGCATTAAGCAATGTTCCTCCACACTGCTATGTTTATACCATCAGGCTCGCTGGCACAGCTATGACAGCTAGTATTTTTAATATTCTTAGCCAACTGAACCTTGTAAGAAGAGCTCAGGAGTGGAGACCAATACCTACCTACCAAGCTTATTTTGTCCTGATCCTGCCATGAGCAAAACTGAAGGCAAACGCTGCCTTTAATGGCAAGAGATGAAGAGCAGCAGCAGCTCCCACCTACATCAGGTCAGGCATAGAGGTGTACCTCAGTTCCCTGGCCTTGCACTTCAGAATAGGATCCCAATCTCAGGCTGTCAACCACTACCTATCTCACTCCATTCTTTTTCAGTGCAGAATTTTGTGCTTTCCCTTGTTTCCCTTCTCCTCTGACATGGATCAACCTCTTCCATGCCCTAATTTACCTCTCAGTTCTAGTGCTCCCTGATACATTCTGTCATGATCTTCCACTGTACCTTGAATTACAAGTACTGATCCTAACTGTGAGTCATTGCAGATTTTAGGAAGTAAAAAGAAATAAGCCTGGGATTGCAGAGATGTGTTGAGTAATAAGGAAGCCAGCTTCACCTCTAACACAGCTGTCAGGACTGCAGTGTTGGCATCCAGGCAATCACTTTGAAGTTGTTCAAGGGTAAATACAAATAGTTTGGGATTTTTATTTGCAGATCAAGATATGTAGCATTTACAAGTTTGCAGCATAAAAAGCTGTCATGGCTTTCTCTTAGAGGTCTGATGCCTCCCTGATTTTCAGCAGGATGCTGATATTTGGTAGAAAAGTAATGCTATGATATAGAATATTAAAAGCTTCTGTCTGTGTCTCATATGGCACATAGCTAGATGGTGTGTGTTTTGGCAAAACACTCAAATCTCTTGACAGCATGAACACTTTAGCATACACCAAACAGAACTTTTCTCTGTAGCAGACAAAATGAAAAATATTGGTGATTTTCAAAATTTTGCTCCTGTTTTCTGCTCAGATTACAGAGTGAAAACAAATGACCATGTGATCACAAATTGTTACTCCCCCACTCTTCTGCAATTACTTTCATGTAGTTCAACTGCATTAAAAATATTAAATATAACAATAGCAAACTTACAGAGAGTGGCTGGAACAGTCTAGCAGAAGTCTTCCCATTATATGAATTGGAATTAGTAAAGTCATAAAAATGTCAGCAGATGTTTACAACAGAAGGAAAGCATTAGAGCAAGAACTTTAAGGGTCCCATTTTGTTTACTTTCAAAATGTTTATTTGTTAACTGGTGGGAGTGGCAAGGTGTGACAATCATCAAGCCACAAAGACTCTGGGTAGGTAAGGGAGATGAACTGTCTGGGGCTGTTCTGATGAATAAGTAAAATGTGAAGTGATATGTAAATGAACATGAGGAAGTGACTGAGCATAGCGGATATCGAGTTCTTTTTGTACATTACCTTTAAATGTTTGACTGTGGGGCGTGTGCAAACAGCTCCTCCACAAAAAAGTTTAAACAGGGCATGTAGGTGCATTATGATTATACTGTGAATCTGACCAATGAAGATAATGTATGAATCCATGAGCACACGACCAAATAGATATATTTTCAAATACATTAATGATTTTCTGGTTTCTCGGGAATTTTATTGCTCTATTTTACTGCACTATCATTTTCTATTGAGACATTGCTTCAGCCAAGGAAAGGTAAGAATAGTGTGGAATTTGTAAACACTCCTTGCTCCTCCTACTGACTTTTTTATAATACACATGAATTTATGCTTGTATATTTAGATGGTTACAGCTTTTATTAGTAACCTGATTTGGAAATCAGTGTTTGAAAACCATGACAATTTTATTACATTGCACTGGCAAAAACTTATCAAGCAGATAACTTCACATCTCCCTTTTCTCATCTACCGATGAGTATACATCTACAATGTATAGCCACATAATTTCTAACATATGTTTCACTCCCTTTACATGTTTATCCATTTTAGAAAGTTACTGGTTTGTGTAAGTTAGTTCTTTTCTGTCTTAACACTTGTTATTGAATCCTAAATATATCACAAACCATAGCTCTTTGGACAGTCAAGATGATTAAGCTTTAGGGACTTTAATATCTCCCTCATGTTCCTACACCTGACTTCCTGCCTTTGCTATGAATAGATATCCTTCCTCTATTGATTTTCAGAGCTTTAAATCTAGGTTTAGCTTGATGTGCTACAACTGTGAGTCTGCTTCAGGAAGAGGTGGGCTGATAAAGCTGGGAACTTGTTTTTCTCAGGGTCCTGGTACAAGATTAGAGACAGGAGGAAAAGAACTGAGACCTTTTTTGTACCTCAAATGGGAAAACAAGACAGAGGAACTCAAATATTCCCCAATAGACAAGGAAACCCCTGAGCAACGGATTCATGCCTGTTGTAGAATTAACTTGTTTCTTGAATATCATGCTTAATATTGGTTTCTCCAAAGAACAGTATATGCCATACACTAGCTGAAGTAACTATTAACATCATGAGATGGTTTGGACTTTTTCAGTGCTATCATTGTAATAATGAAACAAATAATATGGTTATTTTCTCCTTAAGTCTTGCTCTACTGTCCAGGAGTTCCCCTATGTCATGCAGAGCTACATGGACACCTAAACTGCTTATGCTACTATGTTAGTAATTACTGAGCCAAGAATGGATTACCAGGCTTTCTATGAGGCAACCAGCAAACTAATGAGCTCTTTGTCTGATGAAACTATGCTCCCGTTGAACTACTGTTTGAAACACACAGATCAAACCAGGCAACTGGGCATCTCACAGGTGAGCAGGAGAGCAAACTATAGTCTTGTGCTGCAAATGAGAGATATATTTAGTCTTTGCTACAAGAAGGTGTGCCCCAGGAAGGAAACGTTTGACTTCACACCTCTCAGAAGAAAGTCATCCCCTTTATAATGAAAGCTGTTGCCCTGTAAGAAATTGTTCCAGAAGCAGCAGACATAACAAGGCCTCTCTTAACTGAGATTCCTCTCCTACATCTGCCTCAGTGTACATTTTTCCTGTCCTGCCCATCCACAGGTCCTCCCATGCTCCACTTCAGTGCCTGGGTGGTCCTGCACTGTATCAGCAACAGTGTGGCCAGCAGGACTAGGGAAGTGATTGTCCCCCTGTACTTGGCACTGGTGAGGCCACACCTTGAGTCTTGTGTCCAGTTTTGGGCCTCTCACTACAAGAAAGACATTGAGGTGCTGAAGCATGTCCAGAGGAGGGCAACAGAGCTGGTGAAGACTCTGGAGCGCATGTCCTATAAGGAGCAGCTGAGGGAGGCGGGGGTGTTTAGCCTGGAGAAAAAGGAGGCTCAGGGGTGACCTTACTGCTCTCTATGACTACCTGAAAGGAGTCTGTAGCCAGGTGAGGGTCAGTCTCTTCTCCCATGCAACTAGTGACAGGATGAGAGGACATAGTCTTAAGCTGTGCCAGGGGAGGTTTAGTTTGGACATTAGGAGGAATTTCTTCACGGAAAGGACGATTAGACATTGGAATGGACTGCCCAGGGATGTGGTGGAGTCATCGTTCCTGGAGGCGTTTAAGAAAAGACTGGACGTGCACTTAGTACCGCGGTCTAGTTGGCATGTTGGTGTTCGGTAAGAGGTTGGACTCGACGATCTCAGAGGTGTTTTCCAACCTAAGTGATTCTGTAATTCTGTGATTCCCACGGCTGTCCCTCCAGCCGCCTCAGCGTCTTTCGTGTCACGCCTGCCTCCCTCCTCCGCAGCGACCAGACACCCCACCGGGGCACGCCACCTCCCTGCCTTTCCCTCGGGAGACAACCCATCGAGGGGCTCCTCTACCTGGGGACCGGCTGAAGACACCATCGCTCTAATATAACATGGCTGCGCCGGCGTCTGCTCTCCGTGCGGGCGAGTCACCTCCGGGCGGGTTATCCCCCTCAGGCAGCGCAGCCGGTACCACGCACCTGCCTCTGCGGAGGAAAAGACGGAACTCCGTGAGCCGGAGCCCAGGGGAAGAGGAGCACCCTCGCGCCATAGGCGGCAGCGGCGCAGCCACGGCCGTGAGCGGGAGCGCTGCCTCTGGGCGGGGCTTCTGCGGGGACGTTACAACTCGCCGGGGCTGGCGGCGGCGCCATTTTGAATCGGCCGAGGGTCGGAGGCGGCGGCCGCCGAGCTGGGATTCGCGTCACCCGAGCCAGAACCGGCGAGGAAGGAGCGGATATGGCCGCGAATAGGAACTTGAAGCAAGTGCGGATCGAGAATAGCTCTCCAGCGGCGCCGCTAGGCATGGTGGGGGGTGGCGGCGGCGGCGGCAACCTGAAAGGATTGCGGGGCCTAGAAGCGGAGAGTGAGGCGGCGGCGGCCATGGCGCTGGCGCCGAGCAAAGAAGGTGGCGGAGATGAGGAGCAGGAGGGTGGGTTCACCATCGATATCAAGAGCTTTCTCAAACCTGGAGAGAAGAGCTACACTCAGCGCTGCCGGCTGTTCGTGGGGAATCTGCCTACTGATATCACCGAGGAGGATTTCAAGCGCCTCTTCGAGCGCTACGGGGAGCCCAGCGAGGTCTTCATCAATCGGGACCGTGGCTTCGGCTTCATCCGCCTGGTGAGGAGCCGGGCGAGCCCCTGTGGCTGCCCCGTGACCCAAGGGCTGCCCCCCGTCCCCTTCCCTTCCTTT